ATTCCATTCATTCATTGTTGCACCCTTCTCCCCGCACAAACACCCCCCCGCCCCCCGTTTGCTCCTCTCCTTGAAAAGCAAAAGAAAAACTCCCTCATTGGTACACAATCCCCCCGCACCTCCCCAAACCCCACCTCCTACCCCCAAATATAATCCACTCTGCAACCCTCATTGCGTACTCCTACAATAAAAATAAGACTCATTCTATGAAGCAAACATATCCTTGATACCAAAGCCAGGAAAGGACACAACCAAAATAGAAAACTATAGGCCAACCCTGCATTTTTAATATGACTTTGGCATACCTTTTGTTTGCAGAAGTATAATATATTTACGGTCAGTTCGTATTTACAAATGTGCAGGAGAATTATTCATTTGGGGAAAATAGTATAATCTTCAGAAAATCATACCGGAACATTTAGATTTCCACATAGGAAAAAAAAAAGAAAGTTTAATCTCTACCTCACACCATATAAACATGTACTTAATTAGTTCAGAGATCTCAGTGTAAGAGCTAAAGCTCTGAAAATCTTTACAGCTTTTGGATTAGGCTGTGGTTTCTAAGCTTTGATACCAAAAGCACAAGCAACAAAGGGGGGTGAGGGTGGTGGAATACATTGGACGTAGTCCGAAGGATTAATTCTGTGGTGGTGTATTTTTTTAATGGTCATCCCTATTTTCTTTTTTTTTAGGGCATTATTTTTATTTTTTTTTCTATAATTATATTTTATTAATTTTCATAAACATTTACAGAGATTTTGGGCTTCCACTCATTCATTGTTGCACTATTCTCTCTACCCTCCTCCCAGTTTGTTCTTGTCCAAATGCCACAGTGCTTGTCAAAGCCAGTTCTGATTAATCTTCTTTGTCAGTGTATCCTTTGCCATTCCCTATCACTCCTCCCTGAGAGAGACTTCACCCTGAGTCATAAGGAAAAGGGGACGGCGTATTCTCTTAGCTACTTCCTGCTGAAAAGGGACGCTGTGGGTTTCAGGGTGAAGATCTTCTCTCACTACTCTAAAGGGCCCCTTTGGCAGTAGGAAACACATAGACTATTATGGAGATTGATTTTGGAATTCAGATGCACTCTTATTGATTGTGCTTGGCCGTACATGTACATATCCTTCAAGATGTATCATGGGGGTGTTGCAACCTAGAAGACACAAATTTGACTAACAAGTTATAAGTACATGAGTCCAAAAATTATGGAAAAGTAAAAGAAAAGATTCTTTCGAGGGTCATCCCTATTTTCAAACAGTATTATAATCTGATTGGCACATGCTGAATTTTGACCCTTTTCCATGACATACACTTTAACACCTTTCATGCAACCAAAAAAACCCCCAGAAAACCAGCACAAATCGCTTACTGCTGTTGAGTCAGAACCAACTCATAGCTGCCCCTTAGTGGAGTTTGTGAGGTGCCAAACCTTTTTTAAATTGTTCAGTCAAATCTTTTGTATATTGCACACCTTTCTTCCATGGAGCTACAGGTGGATTCGAACTGTCGAAAGCATCAGGACCTTCGGGTGAGAAGCACAAGGCCTCCATGAAGCTCGTCAGTGCTCCTGTTTCATATACTAGATGGCTTTCAGTGTTAGTGATTAAAGAAATGCTTTTATATCTTTTTTCCTTATAAACTATTTAAAAGGTAGATCATGACAACAGCTTCATTGAAATAGAAATGACATATACCATATGACTAATTCACCCATCGGAAGGAAGTACATATACAGTTCAGTGGTTTTTAGTATATTCAGAGTTGTGCAACTGTCATCACAATTTTAAACATTTTCATCATTCCAGGAAAAAACTGTCCGTTAGCAGCCCCCTGTCCCTTCAGCATTTCTTGGTCGTCCCTGCACTTACTGGACTTGTTGATGTGCCTCCCCAGGCATTCATAGAAATGGAATCATAAATAACATGCTTTCAAGGTTCATTGTATCTTAGCAGGTGTAGGTACAGCAGTCCTCCTTTACTGACTATTACTCTACTGTGTGGGTATGTCAAATACTCTTCACTTTTTCATCAGTTAATAGACATTTAAGATTGATTTCAGTTTTGACAAGTATAAAAACCCTGCTGCAAACATTCATTTACTATATGGGCACATTTTTGTTTTAATTCTTAAATGTGGGGTTCCTTTGTTATTTGGTAACTCTTCTTAACCTTTTGAGGTCTGCCATATTGTTTCCTCAAGTGCCTGCTCCATTGTACATTCTCAGTAGCATTTATAAGGGTATCATAAGTGTCTCCAAATTCTTACCAATGACATGAACCATTTTCAGACCCTCTAATTGTAGCCCATCCTAATTGCTGGGAAGTGAGAGCTCATTGTGGTTGGATGTTGCTGAGAATATACACAGCCAAACACCCACCAGTTCCATGACATTGATTACATTCTGTGAACTGTGAAACCATTTCACCCTCCTTTCCGAGTTGTTCCTCCTCCTCTATTAATATAAACACACTGCCCCTAAATTTCCTTTGTAACCTTTCCAGTCACTGTTGCCACTGTGACCCCATGTACATGATTCTTAGAAGAAAACAGGACTCGGACTTTTTGATTGGTTGTCTTATTTACTAGTGGGTTATAAGAATTCTTTTTATATATGAGACAAATTACTGATCAGGTGTATGATTTGCCTGTTTTTTCCTTTGAGTTGTCTTTATTTTCCTGATACTAGCCCCTTTGCACACAAGTTAATTTTTGTGTGTGTGTGTGTATCATCAAATCAGATCTGACTGGTACAGGAGGAGATTGTCCCTCCTTTTCCCGGCAGAGCATCTGGTGGATTCGAACCGTGTGCCTCTGGGATTGTAGTTGCAGCTCCTTGCCGCTAGACCACCAGAGCTCCTCTACAAGTTAATTTTTATGAAGCTTCTTTTTGTGTTTGTAGCTATGAAACCATGGCCTAATTAGTCATGAAAATGGACCTCTTTGCTTTCTTCTAATAGTTTTTAAATCTTATCAGTTAGATTTAGATCTTTGAAGCAAATTGAGTTAATTTTTATGTGTGAAGTAGCATTTTAAAAAGTAATACAGATTTTGCAGTTACTTTCTGCTTTTTAACTTTGAATAATTATAGACTTCAGTGTTCTTTTATTGACAGATATAGTACTAAAAATGCATAAACAGACAGGGATGTTGATTAGGGCAACTTGATAATATTTTGGGACAAATACTTGTCTAATTCTTTGATTTTAATTAGAAGCTAGTCAGGCATTGACCCTGTCTTTTCTCTCATGTGGTGTCTTTGGCATATATTGGTCACAATGACAGCCAAATACAAAATAAAGAGATTTACTCTGCCTCATTTGTTCGCTTCACATTTCATACCCTTTAGTTGCTTTGGTACCTTTTCCTATGACAGACTTAAGGAATTAGCCCACTGATAGAACTCCATGGTGAACAGGGTCTGCAGCATGAGGATTTTATCATTTGTCTGCTGCATCTGTTTATCTGCTGGCAGCTCATGACATAACAGCAGCAGATTGATCTGCAGAAGAGCAAGAAAGCAAATGGGCAGTTAAGCGGTTAGGCTGTTTTACAGGTTCCATGAGATTCCATAACTGTTGAGATGGTGTGCACTCCAGGTCCTCAGCACTGAGGTGAGGCCATGTGGATCCCAGCCACAGGTTTTAAGGCTAGTAGTTCAAACCATTTCTTTGAAAAACACATATTTTCCAGTTGGATTTGCCCATTTCTTTGTCCAAGAACAAACATATGCAAACCATAACTATATTATTAGTTTTCCTTTATCTGTTACTTCTATATATCATTTAGCAGTTTTTTCTGGCTAGAAAAAAGACTATGGGTCTTACAAATCAAGCCACTAAAGGAAAAGTGGTAGTGTGGCAAATCATGTCTTTTATGAAAGTGGTCAGCCAGTCTCTAAAACTAGCAAAAAAAATCAGTAAAAGTTACCTCTATTTATGTTCAAAGTTCTGCTCATGTCAGCTTCATTCACATGTGTTACTTCATGGAGATTAAGACTTAGCTCCTGGTGAAACACTGTAAAATTTACTTCCAAATCTTTATACTTATAACATGTGCTTGTTTGAATGAAGAGATTTATGTCACATTTCAATTTGCTCAAAAGTAGCACATTTTCCTCCCCAGGAAGATGAGAATGCCCTCCCTGCTCTTGATGCTCCGAGTCAGCATTTACGTGGACATGGAACAGGCTTTTGCTTTGATTCCAGGTAATTTTTCTCTTTGTAGAATTTGGATTATGCAGACCAGTGGTTTTCAAAGTTGTTGTCCCTAGAAACTTGTTAGCGACGTTGGGCCCTATTTCAGACTTGCTGAGCCCAGAAACTCAGGGATAGGGCCCAGCTTGCACATTTTAATAAGCAACCTGGGGGTTCTGATATGTGCCATCTTCAGAACCAGTGCTTTAAGAAACAGGTGTTAAAGTAAATGGGTGAGCTCAGAAGAGAATCAGTTGTATCTATTCTTATGTTGTTGTCGTGTGCTGTCGAGTTGCTAACTTCACTTTCTCCGACACATCCACCCTCATTACCCCAGTCACTGAATCAATCCATCTCATCGAGAGTCTTCCTCTCCTGCGCTGTCCCTCCACCCTCCCAAGCATGATGTCCTTCTTCAGGGACTGGTCCCTCATTGTAACATGTCCAACGTTTGTCAGACGAAGCTTCAGAATCCTTGCCTCCAAGGAGCAGCCCATTTTAACCCATCTAGGATAAACCTGTTTGTTCTTCTAGTGGTCTGAAATGGTTGACCTTCCAGCAGGTTTTCAGAGGCTATTAATCATATGGGAGCAGATTGCCCATCTTGCTCTTACTGAGTATTTGGTGGTTTTGAACCACATGACTTGGGGTTAGCTGCACGCCTCCTTACCCACCAGGCCACCAGTGCCTTCTTATTTATCTTTAACATTTTATAAAAGCTTTCCTCCATTCTGGGCACCAGGCCTTGTTTCACATTAATGTGATTATGTTCTTAAAAATTAAAACAAACCAGGCATGCAATACCATCCTCACTCCAGCAACAATAGCAAAGTTCAAAGTGCATCAATAAATAAAAAAAATAGAAAAGAAAACCCCAATAAACAATAAAAGCTGGCTTGGTTGTGGAGAGATTGGAACCCTTATTCACTGCTGATGGGAGTATAAAATGGTGCAACCACTGTGGAAGGCAGTTTGGTGCTTTTTCAAAATGTTGGAAATAGAACGACCCTTTGACCCAGCAATTCCATTACTAGAAGCCTACCCTTAAGAAACTAGAACTGCCATCCAAACAGATGTTTGCACACCGTGTTTATTGCATTGCTGTGTATTCACAATAACAAAGAGATGGAAACAACCCTAAGTGTGCATCAACAAATGTTGTTATATGCTTTTGAGTCGCCTACGACTCATAGCAACCCTGTGTACAACAGCCCTAAACCCTGCTCTATCCCTTGCCAATCCCATTGTCTCCGACATGCCTATCCCCATTACCCCAGTGACTGAATCAATCCATCTCATCAAGGGTCTTCCTCTCTTGCACTGTCCCTCTACCCTCCCAAGTATGACATCCCTCTCTAAGGACTGATCCCACCTTGCCACATGTACAGAGTATGTCAGATGAAGCATCAGAATCCTTGCCTCCAAGGAGCAGCTTGCTTTCATCCTCTCCAGGATGAACTTGTTTGTTCTTCTAGCTGTTTTATGGTATATTCAGTACTTTTATCCAGCACCACAGCTCAAAGGCATCAACTCTACTTTTATCATCCCTAGTCATTGTCCATTGTCCAGTTCTCTAATGCATAGCAAGTAATTGCAGAGATCAATGCATGGATAAAAAAATTTATGATATCATCCTACAGTAGAATACTATGCAGCACTGAAAAACAGTGAACTCGTAAAACATTACACAACATGGATGACCCTGAGGACATTATGCTAAGTGAAATATCTCAGTTACAAAAAGTCAAATACTGCATAGTACTACTGTTAGAAAAAGCAGTACTGACCTGGGGGTTTGGGAGGAGAAGAGGATAGGAGTAGATAAATAATGAACACTGCATGGGAATAGATGAAGAAAAGAACTGTTTAAAAGGAACAAATGAGTATAGACATTATATGTATGACAGCCAGGAATAAGGCACATTGCAAAGAGGACAACAAGTTAACTGAGTCGGGGAAATGTGCAAAAATGAATGAAAATCAGACTTTTATGTCAACTTTTGTTAAAATGAAAAAAGAAAAAACATTCATAAAATCAGCAAGAGATTATGATACCACTTTATTGATACACCTAACTTTAGAGCCTTTGTAAAACAGGTTTTCATTTTCTGTCAGCACATAAGGGCACAAAAAGAAAATTTTGTAGTAATGAAAACCTTCCAAGACATTAGTAGGTTGGCTAGTGTGAGTCTAGCTCTGTATAATCTTGTCAGACAGAAGATGGACTTTGGTTTAGAAATGTGTAACACTTTCATTTTCCTCTTCTAGCTTTGATGTTCACAAGAAGTGCCCCCTCTGTGAACTAATGTTCCCTCCCAGCTACGATCAGAGCAAGTTCGAGGAGCATGTTGAGAGTCACTGGAAGGTGTGCCCCATGTGCAGTGAGCAGTTCCCCCCGGACTACGACCAGCAGGGATTTGAGAGGCATGTTCAGACTCATTTTGATCAGAATGTTTTAAATTTTGACTAGTTATTTTCATGAGTTAATAATACTGTGTTAGCATTTTAAAAAAAATTACCTCCAGTAGACCACTTAAGAGACTATGAGGAGTAGTCTTCATCTTTCATGCAGCCACCGCCACTCTCTCTGACCCAGAGCTGCGTTGCAGTTTGCTGTTAACTAAGGTCAGGTTCAATCTTTCGCTTATCGGTATGTAGAATTTTTATCTGTTAATCTTAGCTGCTTAAAGTAAAATTGTGCTTGCATCTCTTATTTATTCACCTCTGTGAAGCTGTATGAATTAAAGGATACAGAGATTATTTTAATGTTCTCACAATGAAGAAAATATGGTGTGTTAAATTAGCAGAATATCTACAAATTTCTGTTGACCTTGTTGATTGAGCATGGTGACTAAATATTACGTAATAAAAATAATTCATTAATAGTTTTGTGATTTTTTTTTTTAAACCTACAGAACCTTCCATAAGTTAGCCCATGAGATGATAAAGGCAGTCCCCGGGTTATGAACATCTGAATTACATACTATTTCTAATTATGAATCAATTCCTAAAAAGTCTGTATTATACTAAAATTTGAGGAACATGGAATAGTTTGTGATAATAAACTCTACTTAGAACACAAAATTAGTGTTTATTGCTTTTTATGCATAAAATAAGCACCAAGACAAACTTTTGACTGACTCATCTTAGGGGGTGAGAAACATCACCTCATTTTTCTGACTTATGTACAAATTTGACCTAATGAGAGTCTTAGAAATGGAAAGAATTTTGTAATCTTGAGACTGTCTGGTTTTTAATTATAGAAATGGAGCTGCAGTGTAACAAATAGCTTTTCAAGATATTAAATGTAAGCTTTAAGAGTAGAAAAATTTTACTTTGGGAAATAATTTTGAGTAAAATTTCATAATAACGCAAATGATAATTTTTCAATATCATCTTGCGGTTGTATGCAGTGAACAGTGCATTGTGGGCAGTGTGGGATGGAACAGAGTCAGTGCGGGAGTTCTCTTGTCCCACAGGCTGCCAAGTAGTGGGGTGTGTTGTGTAAAGTCATTATGTATCAGGATCTTTTTCTCATTTTCCTGATGAGACCATAACTTTCAAATCATGTTTTCAGCAAGTGATTAAAAATACCACATACTCAAGTCCAAGCACTACACTCCTGCCTACAATCACGCCTGCCTGCTGACATTAAAGGGACACGTTGCTGGAGGCTTGTCAGTAATTTTGTTGTCAGATTTCTTTGTGATGTTTCTTAGTCTTACATACTGTAGACTTTTTGTCCTGGGCCTTTAAAAAATGCCATTCCTTTTTCTTTTAAAATGTTAAAAAATTTTTATCCTGACATTAGGTTCTACTCTTTTTGTCATTACCAATATGTTTAAGGTTAATGGGAGTAAACTAGAAACTAGCCTATTACTGAGACATGATGTCTTTTGGGTGCCATTTATTAACTGTGCGCACACCATATTACTTCCATTTGTTTCTGGAAGCTGAATTTGTGTATTGGAATACTTAAAATTATGGGACAAAAAGCTAGGTGCCAGCTTTAAGAGTCTCTCTTCGCTTCTTGATAAGCAGAATATATTAAGGTATGACATGAACGTTTTCTTTTGTATCAGTTGATAATTATGGATCTTGCTAGCCTAAAAGTATCTTTTGAGCTTTATAGTACTAGTGAACTGAGCCAGTTTTCAGCAGCACAGAACATTTAATGGTCCTTTAGTCCAGATACACCATCTGCCACTGAGAGGAAGGCAGTGGTGCCCAGTGACCCTGTGTGCAGCAGGACGGAGCCCTCACGGTCACTCCCACACACGAGCTCACGGTCACGGCCCTTCTGTCAGTCCTCGTTAATGGTCACCATCTTTGTTGCTGACCCTCTACCAAGAATGATGCCCTTCAGTGGACGAGAACACATTCTAGATTTGTTAACTGAATTATGCAAGGCAAGAGAGGACAGTGACTGGAAACCCTGATGCTGGTTTTTCATAATAGATGCTGATGAAAATGAAGAGCCATGTTTACTTTGGGTCAGAGGCAGTTTATTTTAAATGTGATTTCATTTACATTTATAAGCAGCTTTTCTTGACAGGAATTTTGATTCACTAAGTTGCCTTCAGTTCTAAAACAAACCTCTGTCACTTTCAAACTCAATGTGCTCTGTCCTCAACAAAACATATGAAAATATAATTTAAAGCACAGTTCTCACAGACACGGTACGGTACATTCACTATACATGGTATAACAAAATACTCCCATCCTCACCTGTTTAGTAATACTGTCACAATGGATACGTAATTAGAAATTGGGATTTGTTTTATATTTGAATATAAAAGAAATTTAACATGCACAAATCACTTTTATGACTGTTTAGCTGTTGAACTACTGATCCAGCCTGCAATTTCTTACACTAGGAGCAAAGCTAAACAATTGCCTGTAAAATTTGCCAGTGATCAATTGTAGGCAGATATGAAATGGCCAAGTGGGACCTTCTTGTTCACCAACGAGTTGCTTCTCGTGCCTGGATCATCCTTTTAAACATAGCGGAGTAACAGTACATTCAAAACCAAAGCCATGCTCCAGAGACCAAGGGAAGTTTTTAGAGGGCACTCTCTTACAAATACTTTCAGATCCCTCATTATGAGGGATTCACAGCATATGACTAGAAGTTTACCCATCAGGCCAACAGAATTGTCATCCTTTCAAAATGCTGGAGAATATGAGGAGGGACACTTGCTTCTCAGCTGGTTTTAAGACTTGTCACATGTGAGACAAGCAAGCTGTTTATTTTAAAAGCGATTCAAATTTGCTTTTCACCAGTTGTTCGGTGGACAGTTGGCCGTCTCAAAGCAGTTTTTAATTGCATAATCAGGCAATTGGTAAACTCATGTTCAAGGAATAGCACTTGGGAGGAAAGAACACTCAAGGCATGGTGGTACTGTTGGCGAGGAAAACTCGGGAAGGGGTGGACCAGCTACCCTAATGGTTACATCAGTCACTCTCTTTGACCACCTGCTGCAAGTAGCACTTAATTGTCAATAAGGCTCAATTTCTTATTTCAGCAAAATGTTTTTATAAAGCTAAACAGACCACTTTCAATGGGAATGCAGACATGTACAATATTTTGAGGGAAGTACCTTAAAAAAATACAAAGACTACAATGATGAAGAGGTGATAAAGGTCTTAACAGAAATGTTCCTCTTTGAAATATGCTTAAGAATTTTAATTCTTATTTGCAACCTATAGGTTTTGTTAGGGCAGTGGCTGCAAGAATTGGCAACACATAAAACATTAACTGTTGGCAATAGAGAACTACAAAGTGCTTTAAAACTTCATCTAAAGATGAAGAACTCAATTTTACACACACAAAATTTGCACTTAAGTATTTCAAAGTGTTTGCTAACAGACTGTGGGGAAAAGTATTTCACTTAACTGGCATGTTGGTCCACAAATATCAACAGGCATAACTGGAATCCTTGGCACCCCAGCAGGCACTCAGTCAAGGGATGTTGAGTTAATGAGTGAACTGAATAGACTATTTTGTACAAAAATGCCATTTATAACACTAAAGTGATTGGTAAAATCAAATGGCAAGATTTTCAGCTTTTTTAAAGGGAAAAAGATTTGCAAGATAATATAAAACACAGAAAGCACACCTTTTATGTATGTTATTTAAATATGAAAATACTTTTAGCATATTATGTTAAACATTCTTATTTATAGTTCAGTTACCTAAAGTCGTTCTACTCACGAATACTAACTCCATTATGTAAGGCATGGTAACCAGTTTGATAACGAAGGTATTATTTTGGTTTTGAACATATGTGAGTTGATGTGTTGAAAACTTCAATCACATTACAATCTTGGGGGGGAATCTCCGTGCCAGCCCCTCCTCCCCCAGTTTTTATCACTGCAGTACAACTAAGCAATGTGCAACATGCCCTCAGTTTTATTTTGTTTGGGGGGAAATGTGCTGAAGAACCTAGAGCTTTTTTGTTGTTTTTGTTTAGCACCTTATATCAAAGTAATGAAAATGGATATGATGAATACATGTGCAAATGTACAAAATCATTAACTCTACAAAGATACATCATTCCAAAATTACAGAAAAAATTTAAAGCATGCATTGAATTCTTTTCTTTAAAGGGTTGCTGAATGCTTCCCCTGAAAAAAGGTGGCTGTTTCAAAATCAGCAACTGCTGGTGAGGATTCTTGGCACAGTCAGGACCAGCACATTATTGCTGCATCTTCCTGATGATCTCGGCCGACACTGGGGGGTGGAAGTTGATTGTGTGGTGCCGCAGGCCCTGAGCTGTCTTGTAACTCTTCCCACAACGACATTTGAATGGTTTGCGGACACGAATCTGTGTTCTGTGACCATTCTTGGCATGGTACTTTATGCCATTCACATTCTGTGGAGAATACAAAAACACAGCTATTACATGGTGTTCCATACATAATGCTTCTCAAGCTCACTCAGGACCACCTCAGCTTGGGGCCCAAATGCAGTTGGACCTTCGTGATGACCTCTGCTTAGAGAGGACAGGCTTGTGCGTGGACTCGTGCTGGGAGCCCAGCAGTGGCCACAGCTACCTCGACCCTCGACTACTTTTTTGTTAATGAAATTTGTCAAGTACTGTTTGCCAAGTTCACTTTTGTTGTTAAAGTTATAGTAACGTTATGAACACAGGTCTAATTCGCCAGCATATTCTATGTAATACTCCTTTTTCTAGAACCACTCTTGACAGATTTAGTTAACAATTACTAAAGCTCATGTGTGCTTCAGGAAAACAGGACTGATTTCTTCAACTCTAGATGAAGCCAGACTCAGTATTCATGACTCAAAAACAGGGTCGAGACGGAGGCATATTTCTTGAGGTCTAGACCCTGTCTTCCCCTCAGAATCTTTTTTTCCACTGTGAAGAAAGTTAACAATGAACAATCCTATAAAAATACCTTCAGGATGATAAGCAAAATGCCTTTTTCTAAAGACAGGAAAGAGCACAGGTTAGGGCAACTCTCAGAGATGTCAAGATCTGTTTATAAACTCTTGATTTGGAAATTTGGTTTGTGTTGCTTCCACACATCTGTGGTGACAGTTCCTCTCACCTTGACTAGGCTTTTGTCTGTTTTCTACCCTGCATTAAGCCAGGATCTCTGGGGTCACCATGGAGTGACTGTAGCCCACCTCCCACCCTGTCCCAGCACAGACAGGTATGCTGCATACTCATCATGGCCTGGACCAGTTTACACTTGAAAATTCTTAGCTTATTTAATATGGATCTCTTCTACGCTACGAGTGCCAAATGTCAAACTGGCCTATAAATATTAAATAATTATCAAACTACTTTTTTGTTAAATTTGTCAAGTACTGTTTGTCAAGTTCACTTTTGTTGTTAAAGTTATAGCAACGTTATGAACACAGGTCTAATTCACCAGCATATTCTATGTAATACTCCTTTTTCTAGAACCACTCTTGACAGATTTAGGTAACAATTACTAAAGCTCATTCCAGTTCACAAATACTTCTTGGCAGATTTAATTAACAGTAGCAGAGGTGGTAATCTGAATATAGGTCTTCATTTTTGTCTGCTGTTACTTAACATTGAGGAGCTCTGGTGGCTGTTAGGTAAGGAGCTGCGCTGCCAACCTAGAGGCATGCATTTCAAATCTCCTAGTTGCTTCATGGGAGAAAGATGGGTAAATCTCCTCCCCTCTGATTTATTGGCTGGAAGGTCAGCTGTGAGTCAATTCTGAACTGATGATACACAACATTACAGGAGTGGAGAGTAAGGGAGTAGAGAAGAAACCACTTGAGATGTGAACTTGTTGACCACAAGTCCCTCAACTCGAGCTCAATGCTGTGGAGTCAGCTCTGATTCACAGGGAACCTCCATTGAGTGTGAGGTGTTAAGTCGTAACGGGAGAAGACAGCCTGTCTTTCCCCTTTGGAGTCATCCACTGGTCGATTTGAACTGCCAGAGAACTTTTGGGTCTGTGATGCAATTTGCTAGGGACTCCACTGCTGGAGCTCCTTCCAGGTCACCAGCTGAGTACACTGCTCCTGCAGAACCACCTCATTAGGACCATGCCATGTGCCATTACACCAGGAATCCCCCTCTATGTCACAGATGCCTTGTGGGAGCTCCCAGACAAGGGATGTGCTCACTGCCATTTCCTCCAACACTGAGCATGTAGTAGAGGCTCAATGAAACTGAATGAACTTGTTAAAACAGTTCAATCATGTGCTTCACTCTTCTGGAAGAAGGTAAGAGGGTTGTTATTACATTGCTCTTAGAGATTCAGATTTTAAATTTTAGTGGTTTTTTTCTTCCCCCCTGCAATAGAGAATCCTGTTGGGTTTTGTTGAATCCAGAGTTACCAAACATGTGGTCTCCTTGTTAGCTCCACTGGCTCAGGAGATGGACCAGCACCCCTGTCTTGACACCAGGGCCTGGCTGGTCTTCCTGCACCGATTCCTCCATTCAGGGCCCGGAGCACCTCCCCACTCTGCTAGAGGCATGAAGGAGATCAGGGCATGCTGTGGAGAAGAGACAGGGACAGAAGGATCAGATGTACTGAGACAGATGAGGGGGGCGAGAGACCAGGCCAGCCCCTCAGTGGGTCAGGGCTAGGGCAGGGTGAAGGTACTGTTTTGTGTATTTCGGCCAATTAAGCCTTCAGGGACTTCAAACACAGAACCACCCTTGTGAGTCCAGTCAACAGACACAACCATGAAAGACAGGACTTCATGCCACTGAGAAAAGTGCACCTTAATAGTATCAGTGACCATTAGGAATACACTGGTTACAGGAATCTGCATATGAACAGAACCTCTGTGAGCACTAAGTAGAGACTTTGTGGATGAAGGTTCTAAGACCTGCCCTTGTTTTCACCTACACTGTTTGCAGACAGCTGCCCGATGGGGACTTGCTGCAAGATTGGCCCCTGGACCACACTTATAAAATAGAAGAAATAAGCGTAACAAAATACTAACCAACAAAAAGGCACATCAACTCCAGCAGGATTGGGTCTTAGATAAATCCATTTAAAGAATGAAATGCTTCAACGTGAAAAGGGAAAAGAGGAATCTTTGAGGGGCAAGGCTTGTCACTATTGTTTGTAAGGACTTATCCCGGTGCTGGGTACTGGTGGTTACTGGCCATATTCAGTTCTCATCTTTGAGATGAGAAAAGTGATGCTCAGGAGATGAAAAGGTGTATTATGTGGCTGGAGATGATAGGATGGGGGTGAGGCCAGGCTGGACGTGTCCATAGTCCAGATACTCCACACAGCTTCCTGACGTGCTTGTAACTTGTTAGCACAACAAACTGGTGAGCTTTTTAAATAGAATAAGCCAGTTGAGAAGGATCTGGATACTTGTTCTGGAGGAAACAGGCTATGATTTCTAGTAGTCTCCTGACATGGGGTGGGGATGGTGGAAGCCAGGTTTTACCCCTAAAGCCAGTCAGGGGACAACAAACAATTTAGAGTTGACAGTCAAATTCTACTCCAAAGAAAACTTGGCGCCATGCTGGGCCATCCTGTCTTTGATGGTATTTGGTCTTAGAGGTTGGTGTTCAGTTCTGCAAGTCTACAATATGTGACACATGCCCTTGTTTTATGGAAACTGAAGCTTTCGGTTCCCTGTGGGCAGAACTTTATTTCCACATCAAGAACACCACTGGGTGGTTTGGGGATAGGATATGGAGACAAAAAATGGAAACTGAGGTCCTGGGTGAATTGGATGACTTGGAGGGAAAAAAGACAAATTTCTGTTATTATCCCTAATTATTAAAAGCAAATATGTGTTTAAGTATGAGTTCTGAATTAGAGACATTCAGAAAATCTAGATGAACATAAACAAGTAGAACAGATAAAAACCCCAACTCTTAACGTCTGAGGTAGTTCAATACTTATCCTATGTACAGTACCTCATGTAGGGCCTACTTTTGTCCATTTGGAAGAAAAATGGACAGTCTGTCTCTCTGCATGATTTACAGCCTCCCCAAGCCAATGAAAGGGTCAGCTGTGAGCTGGTTACGACTTGACACCAGTAAGTTCGAGTCTAGTTTTCTCTATTTAATGTTACTCTTTTGTCAATAAACATTTTGATACTTTGTTATGAAAAGATGGCAGAATTCTGGTCCACATTTGTGCTAGCTTTAAGTACTATGCTGGATATCCTTGTACACCATCTTTGAAGAGGTATTTGGGATACATTTCTAGAAGAAGACTTAAGAAGCCAAAGAAAGGAACATTTTTTAAAATTCTGGTTCTATTCTGAACAAAGCTTCAGGCTCTGGGAGAGTCGGGGAGCCTGACCCACTGAATGGTCATCGGGGGAACACCCGAGCCACAGCTCTGCCTGTCTGTCTTGGGTTTTGTTGCGGAAACAACTAGTGCTCTCCATGTGGAAAGGATTCTTTTCAGAGAAACTTGGGAGGGTTCTGTTCTGTTCAACATTTCATAAAAGAAAAGTAGCTGAAGGTGTTTAATATAAGGATTATCAAAGGGAAAAACCTCAAAGCGCTTCAAGGCATCTCTTAAATGCATTTCCAATTACAAGGGATGGGGGGGTCCTTTCCCCACAGTTGGAAGAGGTGTGAGTGTCACAGAGGTGAGTGGGGTCAGCCGTTCTGGCCTGGAACGCTGGCATCACCCCAAGCCGTGGGGCCGGTGGGCAACAGGGGGCACGCAGTCCCCTCGACGTGTAGTATGCCTTTCTCCCTTTGGTTTCCGAGCAAGCTGGGAAACGTGGAGACAGCTGACTGCAGGGCCCTCCTTCCCTCAGATGCCGCCTTTTTTAGCCCTGTGTCAGACCGTGCTAAGAGCAGATGCTGAGTCAGTGCCTGAGAGAAGACCTGGTCCTTGACGCCCCATCAGCGGAGGGCAGAGAATGGGAGATCCCATGGTTACCCCAGAGTAAATGTGATGGCAGCACAGGCTTCTGCCTGTCCTCACGGCACAGCAGCTCCTTCTCACCTCCTCTCCTAACACACAAGCCAACATGCTTGCTGCAGCTGAAGCGACCGAAACCCCTGTGCGACGGCCAGTGACTAACAGGGAGCCCGACTCCGGCCACGCTCACCTCCAGCTCCTGCTCAGGAAAAGCCGTTCCACGTTTGCTCTTCTCTCCCGCATCATTAGTTAACACACGGCCCAGAAAAAAAACAGTCCCACTGCCCTCATTTTTGCCATGTGCCAGGTGGCATCACCCCTGGGGCCATGGGCTTTTCTCTTGGTCTCACATGGAGGGTGAACGCTCACAAAAGCCCCATCAGCCCAGTCACAGGAAGGTCAAGGAGGCAAAGTACTAGAAATGCAGGAAAACGAAGGCCAAGAGTAAGAATAACGCTAATAGACTAGACTGAGGGAAGAAAATGGAAAAGAAATGAAGCTAGAGACAGAC